TGGCTTTATTGACAATTAAGAGAACTGTAATTTTGGTAGGATCTATAAAATCTTCCATAAATATTTATATTATGGACACCCTAAGATGATTTTGTACTTTGAATTATATTAAATTGATAGGCAAGTCCGTTGCCATAGCAACCATTTTGTACAAACTCAGTTTCTGTTGTTGTTTACCAAAAAAAGCATTTGTTAATAAAGTTAATAAAGCAACAAAGTTCGAAAAAGCTATTTTTAGCATATAGGTTACAGTCAAGATCGCAAGGTCTTGACCTTGGTGTCATTTGAAAGCACTTAACTAGTGAAGTATGCATACCGAATATAAAGTCTAGTGAAGTATGCATACCAAATATAAAGTATATCTCCTATGGTTCATAAGTTAGAGCAAAAAATCGAGAAAAAACTATTTTTAGCATATAGGTCACAGTCAAGGTCACAAGGTCATTGACCTTGGTGTCAGTTTAATTCGTGGAGTATGCATTCCAAATATGAAGTCTCTATCGCGAACGGTTCAATAGCTATGGCGAAGGTTAAAGTAGACAACAGACAGACAAACAGAAAAACAGACTGTCAAATAGATAAACAGACAAACAGACGGACAGGACAAAAACAATATACGCCCCAAATAAATTCGGGCGCATAAATATTTAACATTTTAACAAAAACTTGGTATTGAGGGACGTGGTTGTTGACAGGAATCAACTTGTCTCTCTTACAATAAGTCTGTCCGTTAATGCAGTACTTTCCGATAATAACTTTGTAACTATGAAAAATTAGAAAAGTATATTCTAGTACATGTATACATATGATTTATGACTTGATTAAATCTCTAATTCAAAGTCTTGTCAAAAATTGTGATACTATAATCATTTATAAAAGTCAAATCACTGGCAGATGAAAATATGAAAAATGCTAAGTATTAATTGGATTTTATCAATTATCATTTTACGGAGGAATTTATTAAAAAAAAAATCTGCATCATTCAGCATAATTTTGCAATATGACCATTAAAATTTTGCATCGCATGATCATATTTGAAGTGCAGAAATAAGTAGTGAAACGACATATTGACTTATGTTTTTTTTTTTTTATATTAATGAATTTTAATTTATGATTATATAGCCAAAGTGTCGCCCGCGTGGCGCAGTAGTTAAAGCATCTTTTTATAGAGTCGCGAAGTAAGGAGTCAATCCTTACGTCGAGGGATAGAATCCCACCAGGGGACGTGGCGACCGGTCTTTCGTTTAAACTGAGGTCCCGTGTGTAGTAGGAGATGGCACGAAAAAGATCTCACGCTGGTCAATTGCCGTAAGTGCCGAGTATAGGTTAGAAATTGTTGCCCTTCATCTGCAAGTGGTGGTATCTCAATATAAATAAAAATTCTCAACAGGGACATTGAAAACAATCTATCAATCATTTTTAATTTTCTCTCCATTGAATCGATGGCCTTTTCCTATCAACATGTACTAAAATTCTAGTATCAGAAAGGGAAGATCGTGTAAATACTGCCTATAATACATTGTTAAAAAATTCAAAAGGCATAATGGTATAAGGATTAAACATAGAAATGTTAAAGAAAAAAATACGAATTCATGTAACTGGCCATTGAGGAGATACACAAATTCAATGAACAGGTTTGTTTGTTTGATTTTTATCCACCCTTTCGAGAACTTATGTCTCGATTCCGAAGTGAGACTTGAACCCTGTACTTAAGGATAATCTGCTCTATACTCTGTACTGCGACTCATGGGCAAATGATCTAACCACTGCGCCGCACAGGTGCACCAACTGACCTGGTGAAATATCGGAATCTTGTTTTGATATCATAGAGGGGGAAGGGTGTAGTAAAATATACCGAGTAATCAATAACTTTCTAGTCTTTTGCCTCTTTGATAAAAAATTAATTTCAACTGGTACAGTGTACTTTTTTTGAGATTTTTTCGAGAAGAAATACAATTACACGGGTAAGAATCTTGACTTTATTACAAACTACGAAGGTAGCACTGACACATGCCACTTTCTCAACACTAAAAAAAATATGTATTTTAAAACTTCTTATCTGTACAGTCCAGAAAAGAAATCGCAATGTTTTAACTAGTAAATTAAAATAAAAAGAAATTTTTTTTTTATAAAATTAAAAAAAAAAAATAAAATAAAATAATTGAGGTAAAAAAAAACAATATCATGTTGAGTGTTACTGCAGTAATCAGTAAAAAAAATGTAATAAAAATATAATATTATTTTGTTTTTGTACATATAAATAAGTTAATTATGCAATAAAATTAAATTATAGAAATTTTTTATAATATTATTTTTGTTGTCTATTTGAGTATTTGTATTCAACATTAATAGAAAAAAAGATTTTAGTTGGTTTCATTGAAATTACTAATGCCCCGAACTTCTTAGAATAACGTTGAATTTTTTACACGTCTGGTTGGCCGTACTTTTGTTGCCTTGTAAACATGTAAACAGTGAACGATTTGGGAAGAAATGACAATGTATAAAGTAGAAAAGGAAATATGCACACACAATGAACGTATTTTAACATGATCAAATAATTTTACAAAATGTATACTATGTATATATTTCTTCTGTGAACTGATTTGATGTATAGTAGAAGAAGTTCAAGCGATTCGAAGATCAAACTCGATCATCGTTTTCCTTGTGATCCACACCCGTACATTCACACATCAACAGATCAATGTCGATGTCGATCCCGATAAAATATATTCTTTAATCATAAATATGTTTCAAAAATAGATATGTCTCGAACTTTATGTCGAAAATATACATGAAGCAATCGATAGATGATGCTACCTTCGAAAAAAAAATTCAAGACATGTCAACAACGTCGTCGTCTTTCTCCGTACATGCTTGTGACGTCATGCGAGTCAGAAAGTGCTATTTTTCTCAAGGTTTTTTAATTTTTTAAGTGTGTGCGACTTTATGAACAAGATTAATTTTTTGAATGAAAACTTTCTTTGAAAATATCTTTTACTTGTGTAAATATCTTTCTTGTTCAAGGCGTCGCACATACCTAAAATCGCCGATAACGATGCTAAAAATGCCACTTTTAGGCGTTTTCTTGTAAACTTAGTCACTTTAAGCCTTTAATTCTCTGCATATTATTTAAATCAACATATCAATTTAACCATAAAAGAAAAGTATAAATTCTAATCTTTCAAAAAATATCAATTTCATTGAGGTTAACTGGCGTTTAAATTGAAACAAAAACGGGGGCCAAACTATAATAGAAACCCTATATAGTTCTTTGATAAATTTCTAAGCACCTTTTATTTACTAGATCTTGACCTTATATCATATGATGTAAATTGCAAGAGCTTAAATTCATTAATCTTCCTTACATTTTATAACTCTTTTTTAAGAGCTCCAGTATATCATAACGTCAAAAACACACTATGACGACGCCTATTTACCTCTCAGTAAAATAAACGCTCTAAAAATCAGTTATTTGAAACCGTTCCAAATTGTTTTAGCGTATAATTTTGTCAAATTGTATTAACTATGTGATAAATCTACTTTAAAATAGAAAAAGTGTATTAACTATGTGATAAATCTACTTTAAAATAGAAAAAAGCCTCATCTTCCTTTGATTCACGAAGTAAAATGCAATGAAAACCCCAGTCAGCCCCCTTCAATAAGGAGTAGGGTGAATTCACCATGCATCGGATACAAAACTTGCATCGGACAACTTTAGACAATAAACTCTCTTTCAACTTCAGAGTTCTTTGTATTTATTTGTTTCTATCTTGAAGCTGACGACTTAATTTTTTTGATTATACCGATTGTTATTATCATGTTATTATCAAAAACAAAACTCCGTACATCGGACACAAATTAACAAAGCATCGGACACTTTCCGATGCAAAGGTAAGCACTGCCATTTTCATACAGAACCCAGCTGATAGCTGTTTTTTTTTTTTTTTTGCATAAAAATAAAATAAAGACTATATTTTAAGTCAAAATACAAGTAATCGATATACATGTATGACGTCTGGAATTTGACTCAATATATTTCTAAAAACCAGAATATGATAAACCATGAAAAAAGGCTCGAATTACCGCATTATAAGCATTTTAAAGCATTTTTAAGGCAGAGTGATGTCTTTTGAATCGTTCTACATTTCTGCAACGATATTGTCAATTAAATAAAGGTATGATATTTTTCCCGTCAAAATGCCGTCTGTCCGATGCATGGTAATCAATGTCCGATTCATGGTGAATTTTGAGTTATTCCTAAAAACTTGATTTTTGGGGATATTTTCTTGATAAAGGGCATACAATTGCGTCCCAAATTGATATTTTAATCACATTCGTCAAACTAAATGTTAAACTCCATTTTGATAATTTTCCGTCGGTAGCGAGATCGGTAGAACTTGTTGAAGTTAGTACAAGGGTATCCGATGCATGGCGAATTCACCCTATAGAAGGTCTATTTTAAGATTGAACTATCACCGATGTAAATTTAATTTTGAGAAATCTGTTTTGTGATTGATTAAACATTTAGTTGTTAATGAAATTCACAAAAATTAGAACTCATTGAAGTGCAGGATGATAATATAAATGTAAATCGTTTTTGACATATCATTGAACTAGTCAGTTCATAGAACCCTCTCTCTTGATTGTGAATAAAAATTAGATTGTATATAGTTTACTGTGCTTTTACGTCAAAAATAAATCATATCAATTCCTTGTATTATTACAAAAATCAATTATTGCGATAAACTGCTTTGCAAAATTCGAATGGAATATTGTGAGTTAAATTTTTTGAACTTATGGCAATGTTTATTAAAATACATGCCAGATTAAGGAGTGCAACAAATTAGCTTTTAAAAAAGACAAACTAAAATCGACTCTCTCTCTCTCTCTCTCTCTCTCTCTCTCTCTCTCTCTCTCTCTCTCTCTCTCTCTCTCTCTCTCTCTCTCTCTCCCCATCCTACATGTACCTACCTCTCTTCTCTCATCTCTCCTTACTTTTTTTCAGTTACCATCGTGTCAATATCAAGTTACTTGGGTTTGTTTGCAGCAGATGTATCTGAACTCTTTGAATGCAGTGAGTAGATATAGTATATAAATCGACAGGCATAAATGACGTATTCTAAATTTAAAACACTCACCATTTGTATAATATGTTGCATTTGAAATCAAATCTTTATGAGCACTACGTTATTTACAGGTTGTTCCTGCCGCTGCCATTGGGGCTCATGTAGTGTTACCGATAGCTCCTGTGTCTATAGAGGAGGTAGAGTAGAAGATCTTTGATAATATGTTGTCAGGGCTAAAAAAAAATTTAATTTGATTTAGACATTGTTCTAAAATCTTAATTTTAGAAGAGAAGCGACTCAAAAGTAAAAATAATTTATAATTCGAAATATGTGATTTTTTTTAAAAAAAAGTTATCACCTTTGTGGTTTTAAATTATACTGTTCATACAAACAACAGTATAGAAATATGATTGTTTTAAATATTAAGATATTCAAAATATGAAACTTATCTTTATTTTTTGTTTACTTTGTTTCAACTATAGAGTAATCATATCGTAATAATAGTTAGATTACATGGCCTTCAGCTAGACATTAAGATATATCGACGATGTAGTTCCAATTAACAATGGTATTTTCCATTCATATGTCGATACGATATATTCTAGTGAGCTTGAGATAAAGGATACTAGGAACAACAGAGTCTGACACAGTCATGTGTTTCATGAATGAATATTTTATTTTTAAAAGACGTTATATGGTAATCTAACACCTAAGATCTTTGATAAACGTGATTAATTTAACTTTTCATTACTTATGCACCAATATAACTTCATCACCTGCATACGGAATTAACATATCTCAGTAGATTCGATTCGTAAAAACATGCTCTACGTAAATTATTTCTTAGTCGAGGTATATTATTGACAATCAAGTTGATGAAACAAGAAAATCAGCAGTCTTGTTAAAAGTCATCATTTTATAAGTTCTATGGTCGATTTTGTGACCTTGTCGGCAAATACACTTTATCATTGATGAAATGCTGGTTTACGTTTTTCATACTAATTGTTAGTCCATTATTTATATACTGAATTGACGACGGGTTTTTCCATTATTTCTCGATCTTGACAAGGAGCACACGGCTCACTCCTCCATGGCACCTGATTCCCCCTCTAATGTTTCGGAGGTCCGTGTTTGCTTTGCTCCTATTTTGTATTGTTTTAATGACTTTGATATTGTATACTGTTTGTTATCTCCATATCCTTCTTCCAATATAATTTAAAAACTTTCTTCATATAAACAAATACTCGTAATGTGACAAAAAACACGAAAAAAAATAGAAATAAACAAGAAGATATTTTCAAAACAAATTAAAAACCTAAAATATTTGCATGTTATATTGCAAAAATTAAACAAAGAAAAAAAAACCATAATGAAATAATTTGACAAAAATAAATGCAGGATTTAGAAAATATTAACAAATAATACAGGAACTTAATTTAAAAAAAATATTGGAAAATAAATATCGACATTTCCTATCGTGTAGAAACATTAACTTTAATTTCTTTTAGAGAATTTGTTTCATGGTAATATGTTTTACAACAAAATGACTAATTTTAAACTGATAACAAAAAGCGATGATATCAATTTTGTACAAAGATATTATTAGTACCTGCATATAGAATTCTTGTTTTTAATTAATTGACACGCAAGAACGCGATCTTTGCAAAACAATTAGCAGGGAAGGTGAGGTTTAGCGAGGATTTTTGGTATTGTAGACCCAGCTTTCATTAAAAAAAAAAAAAATAAATAGTCTAGAATAAATTTCATTTCAAATTTAGATTTTTATGGTTTCACTGCAAATAATACATAAATTTTATACATGTAATACGACGTAAACTTTTATTTTTATTTAGATCTTTGTGATTTGTGTTCACAAGAATGTCCAATCTGCCGAGAACAGACTACATTATGTCAAATAAGTCCTCCAAGTAAGTTCGAAACGGGCCTTAATTTGCATATTAATTAGCATCAACAAAGGATATATCTTCAGTTGTTTTGTATTTACAATGTACTTATTTTTACTTTTGCATGGCCATACTAAACATTATGCAAGACAAATTTGACAACAGTTTAGTACATTGTAGGTCTCTTTACATTCGCTATATAGAATACTAGTATCTTCGATTCTCTGGTATATCAGCATTATTGTAAACAGAAATGACTTTAGTGTACTATCTTATGAATTAAAATTTTAAAAGACGCTCGTAATGACTAAATTTAAATTTAGCGGTTTTTGAAACTGCAGGTCATTAAGTATCATATCAAAATTTTGCTAAAATTGTTTTATTTAAAATCAAATTTAAAGTCTGTTTGATGAATGAACTAATGAAAAATGTATCTCTTGTTAAGCGTGTATTCTGAAAATGTTGCCAAACAGATTCATATTGAAATCAATATTTTTTTTTAGCTTGCCCTCCCTGTCAATATTCAAGTACATCTCCAATAAATTGTACAGGTTCTACATCTGAGATTATTTATGCTACAAACACAGGTATGACTTTGTCATTACGTTTGTAAAAATTGTAACGTGTCGAGCGTAATGCAAATCACAATCAGGGGTCGTACTTGTCGATTCAGTGTTTGTGGAATGACTTCCAATATAATAATTTTTCTTATTAAACTATTAGAAAATGATTGAAAACAAAGGCATGCAAAATATAATGTTACAGACAGTAAGACCTAACCTTATCTAGGTTAATAATCACGACAATATCAAATAGTTACAACTGATAAATTTAAAAGCAGCCAACCTCGGACTGACGCTTGTACTGCAGCCTTATTCTGGACACAGTCAGTACAAGTGACATCCCTTCAACTGCTGTGCACACTGCTAGCCTTATTCAGGCACACACAGTACTGCACACAACAGCCTGGTCACCAGTCATGTCGACAAGACGGATCACAGACGAGATGCTAACCTCTGTTGCTAGTTAGCATTTGATATGCTTGCTACTCGAAAACAAGATAGCCTTTTTATTTATCATTATCCTCGATAATATTCTCTAAGACCTTACTTGATTTATATGGTCAACCTCTTCTATAAGCTTTAAAGTCTCACTTTCTGCTGCTATGTTCACACACGTCACAGCAAGCACTGAATAGACGCTCTATACCGCGATTCAGCCTTTTAAGGGTCCTCAACACACACCAAGCTTATGTTCTTATATTACTGAGCATTACTAATAAGAAGAATATCAACCTTAAAATACTTACCAGGAATTAAAACATACTGATTTTTTAGAATAATAATTTCACAAGATTCAGGATATTTTTCCCAAGGCATTTTCATTCATAGCACAACAAATTTTGTCTTACCCTTTCACAAGCTCATTTTTAAGCTCATAGAATAATCATAAAAATTTAATTTTATCGATCAACATATTTTTATAGAAATTTATTTAACTTATTAATAATAGATAAAACTCATTTTCTCTAAAATACATAGAGAAAAAAGCAATGAAGACTCCTATTGTGTAGAAGTAACACCAATAAATTCGATTACGTCAAAATATTGAATTCAAATTAAATGTACTAAGGTAGAAAAATATTTTCAAAATATTTGGTATCAAAGTTCCTACATGTATTTGGAGTTATCTTTCCTGTTGCCCGAGACTCTAAAAACTTTGGCATACGTCACCATACTATGGTCACTCATCATTGGATACTGAACTGGACAGCTATAAAATAGAAAAACAATAAACGCACACTATTTTATCAATATTTATAAACACACAATAAGATAAAGTGTATTTATTGAAACGCACACATTAGCGTGCAAAAATACCACTTTCCAACACAGAATCGGTTGATTAGCCTAAAAGTAAGAATAACCTAAAATTTTCTCGTCATATCGGCACCCATTGTTTACGAATTATTATGTAACATAATTCCAGATGTCTGTTGTTCTTTTATTTTAAAAAAAACTGCACATCTTTATCGATCGGTCACTCCCTGATCATGCTATATGTACATTGTTTAAAATTAGGATGTATTGCATACTCTTCCCTTAGCAAAACCTTTATGTCTAAAACGTTTGTAATACTCTCTTACAAGCGGTGCCAGGCAAATTGTCAGTGCACAAACTATATAAAACCGGAAGTTAAAGTATTTTTTCTCTATATATGTCACAAGTTACATGGTATGGAGGACCCTTCAGACGGAGTTTACATCAACAACGTAATAGCTAAAAGCAAATGATAACAATTTAAATTTCTGAAATATTACACTATAAGCCTGTATTTATTCATGGAGCTTCTGTAAATTCAGAACAATTACTATGGGAAATATAATGAAATGATGATGAACTGATGGTGAATCCGAATAAGAAATGTACCGGTATATACAGAAAACATTATAAATGGAAGCATATGCTGACTGTTATCATCAAGATATCTTTTTCCATCTACCTATATTGTGCCTAGAAATTTTTACTGTCGGACAATATCAAAAATGTGGGTTCGGGTAAAATTGATATTGGAAGCAAAAAATAGAGACAACTACTTGACTTAACATATACTTGGACACTATTTTTTCTTATTTATTCTCAGAAAGAATCCTTTCAAAAAAAAAACACATTTACCCCCTGCTGAAAAAAAAATTACATGTTAAATGAAAATCATAAAGGGATCAAAATGAATGCAATTGTAATTTTACAGGGGCGTCATAGTCAATATATCTGATACGTACAACGAATTATCATTTAAAATATTAATGGAAATAGAACAAAAAATAGTTTTTTTACATCAATGAACAGTTAACAATGCCATTACGTTTTATTTTTAAAACATAAATGATTTATATATCCGATAATTCTTGACCTATTCGTATAAATTGCTATCTTTCCCTATTCATTTCGTAATATTCAGATATCACTTGCAATGGTGTATATCTATAACTTAATTATTCGCTTCTAGTACGATCAATCTTTTACACCAAACAGTCTACCACGGGTATAGGTAGATTGATTTTCGGGATTTCCAAAACGCATTTAAAAATCAAATTTTAATGACCTTGTAAGCAATAATATCCCATCGTTGCTGCGATTTTGTGCTCACTACTTTCAAAATGTGGCTTGCTTCATAGTCTTGCCGCTGTAATAGTCTTTGCAAGTTTGATCCCGTTATTGTAACATGGATACCAATCTTTCGTATGAGACCGTTTCAACCGATATCAATAAATGTTGGCACGAAAAAGAGCCATCAATTCCCAATGGCTATCATCTCCACCGACAATTGGTGGCATCTCATACCTATTGTTTGATACTTATTGTAAGGCTTTGGTTTTATATCAAACACTACCTGATCAATACACTTGGTGAACGGCGAGTGTGATCGGTCAACAGAGGATGCTTACTTCATCTCAGCATCTGATCCCAACTATGTTTTCGAGGGTCCATATTCGATATTCTTTTCACATATATGTATTGTTTGTACACTGTACGAGATCTTTAATGGAACATTGCTCGTTTGACATTATATTTACGTTTTTTAATACACAATAAAAGACTTTTCCTTTTCAAAGAATGCCCTCCTTGTGGAACTCCAAATGAAAGCACGGTTTACACCGGTTCTACAGCAGAGGTTTTGACAACTGGTAAACCATTTTGTCGATATTTCGTAATACACTTTGTTTAGTTATTGAAGAGTGTTACTGCAAAAAATAATTTCATATCCCTTTTCATAGTTTGCCCCCCTTGCCCATGTCCATTTTCAGCAGGAAAATATACTTGTTCTACAACAGAGAGATTTACAAAAGGTTTACATATCTATATATAACAAAGGGATCCCCAAAGGAAATAAAAGTCTTTACTGTATATATTTTATTGTGGGAGACTCTGCCTCTGCTTTGTTTTGTATACAAGCTTATCCTTGTAATAAATACTTTCAGTTTATTCGGATATATGTAATATTTTGTTAATATGTATTCATTTAACACCTGTAAAACCGATTTTAGAAATTTGCATGATCGTTTAGTTGTATTCCGCTTTTCGAAAAACAAATCTGTAAAAAAAAATAAATTTATCTATAAATGAAATTCTTGAGTACATTTAGAATAAGGAAGTTGACGATATTGAAAGCAGTTGCTTTGAATAGTCTAAATGTTTAATGTAAATGATATATTTGATATGTAGTATAGTTCATATTTCCAAAAAAAAATTTGATAATTCCACTTAGAACTGCGTCATTGGATATTTTTTTTTCTTTTGTATTGCTAAAGTGGAAATATTAAACGTAGCCAATTTTCAAAAGGGACAATTTGAAGTTCAGTATAGAGTATGAATTGATGTAAGACCTGTTCTAAAAAGTTATTCGATCCTTTTAGATGCTGATTCTGTTCAAAGTGCAGAGGAGATTTCAAGAGGTAATGGTATATTTATCATTTTGGTTTAAACTTCCGCAAAATATCGTTTTTTGTGCAAAGTAATAGTTTTCACTTACAATTTTTAAAGAGATTAAACAATTTACGAAAATAGGTTTCTCAACTGGAGTTTTTGTCGGCGCAATTTTCGGTGGACTGGTGCTTGGATCTATCATAACTTCATCTGTCTTTATTTATCTTTTGCAAAGAGCAAGGAAAGAACAGGAGAAGTACTACATTTACATTTTCGTGTTTAACATATTGTTACCTAAGATAATTTAAAAAAATGGTCTTCTAATCATTTAAAAAAGCTCCACTGACTTGTTGCAAGACGTTTATTAAAGATCTTCAATAATATTTCTATTTATTCCTAGTATTTTCTATATATTTATGCCCTGTTTACATGGAGAGTTTAATTCGCCGTAAATTAATGCGAAGTAAGTCAATGCGATTTAAATTGCGTTCAGACGACAGATAATGCTGAGTAAACTAATGTGAATTTTACTTCTGCAGCCCGGCGTCAGCACGGCTATTATGACGTCATTTGCAAATCACGTCACCTTATGCAAAAGCAGATCCATTTGACATAATGGCAAAGTGTCTGTATGTACACATTTTAATGATTAACAACGTTTTTCTTAGTTTTTCATTAGCACAAGTACCTATACCTGACCACCGACAAGTGGCATTTGACTAATTTTTGATATTACGCATGCCTCAGAATTTGATTGAATTAGCTTCGCTTAGTGTTCACACGGAGCTAATTCAAAGTAATTAAATGCGCAGTAAACTAATTAGAATTAAACTAATTCGTATTAAATTCTCCGTGTGAACGCTAAGCGAAGCTAATCGCAGCAACTTCACGTTTAATTAGAATCAAACTCTCCGTGTGAGCAGGGCATTACTTCTCAAAATGTAACATAAAAATAAGCACAGATAACGCATCGCTCACTTGAGCGCATCACTTATGGAAAATCAGAAATCATTTCAGTATATTGAGAAGTTCATCGTTGAGGAAACAAACTGAATTTACACTTCCGCAGAGATACTAATCATGGTGGTGTTTTCTTGAGCAGGAAAATAATTTAAAAAAAACTACTTGTTCCTATGTGGAACTATGATCGCTAATTGTTGCCCCATCCCACACACCCTTAGTTTGATCAAATTTGAATCTGTACTACCCGACATGAGGAAGCTTCTATGATAACATGCTTAATGTATAATTCACTGATCTTTATTAGCAGACATTTGATTAATATTCCTATATTAAACAACACCAAGTTGTCCTTGAAAAGACAATTTTTATAATTAGAAAGAAGTCAATCTGGTATTTTTTATTTCATCTCCCCTTATGGAGGACGAGGAAAATCTTACTTGTGAATAAAGTAAAATACTAGTATATTTTAATCATAGATGGTTTGTGACATATTTGGCCTTGTGATTTCTGCAATCTGAAAAGCATATATATTCGAAAGTTCATGCAAGACATGCAACAGATACATAAGACAGAAGCCGGAACTAAGTCTTTGATCAGAAAAGCTTACTTGAACTTTTGGCGAGCTAAAGAAATATCATGCGAGTGCAATTGCAATCAAGAACATTGAAAATATTTGCATTCATACTGATATGAATGTTTGATTAGCGTATGTTGATAGCGAGACATACATTAATATTGTTATATGCTACTGTTTGTTTGTACGTTTTTAGCTCTACTGGTCAGAGACCAGAAGAGCTTATGCGATAGTAATGCGTCCGGCGTTTCTGTCCGTCTGTCTGTCCGTCTGTCTGTAAACAATTTTTCAAAATGCTACTCCTCCTACAGTTTTGGTCTAATTTCAATATAACTTGGCACACAAGTAGACTTCACTAAGATACATAATTCTGTGTATCGGTTTTTGATTTCGATGAACGGTGTTGCCGTGGTTACTAAAAATAGAAATTTCTGTGAAATTCTTTCAAAATGCTACTCCTCCTACAGTTTTGGTCTGATTTCAGTATAACTTGGCACACAAGTAGACTACACTAAGATACATAATTCTGTGTATCGGTTTTTGATTTCGATGAACGGTGTTGCCGTGGTTACTAAAAATAGAAATTTCTGTGAAATTCTTTCAAAATGCTACTCCTCCTACAGTTTTGGTCTGATTTCAGTATAACTTGGCACACAAGTAGAATACACTAAGATACATAATTCTGTGTATTGGTTTTTGATTTTGATGAATGGTGTTGCCGTGGTTACTAAAAATAGAAATTTCTGTGAAATTCTTTCAAAATGCTACTCCTCCTACAATTTTGGTCTGATTTCAGTATAACTTGGCACACAAGTAGACTACGCTAAGATACATAATTAGTGCATCGGTTTTTCATTTCGATGAACGGTGTTGCGGTGGTTACTAAAAATAAAAATTTCTGTGAAATTCTTTCAAAATGCTACTCCTCCTACAGTTTTGATCTGATTTCAGTATAAGTTGGCAAACAAGTAGAATACACTAAGATACAAAATTCTGTATATCGGTTTTTGATTTCGATGAACGGTGTTGCCGTGGTTACTAAAAATAGAAATTTCTGTGAAATTCTTTCAAAATGCTACTCCTCCTACAGTTTTGGTCTGATTTCAGTATAACTTGGCACACATAGTAGACTACACTAAGATACATAATTTTGTGCATCGGTTTTTGATTTCGATGAACGGTGTTGCCGTGGTTACTAAAAATAGAAATTTCTGTGAAATTCTTTCAAAATGCTACTCCTCCTACAGTTTTGGTCTGATTTCAGTATAACTTGGCACACAAGTAGACTACACTAAGATACATAATTTTGTGCATCGGTTTTTGATTTCGATGAACGGTGTTGCCGTGGTTACTAAAAATAGAAATTTCTGTGAAATTCTTTCAAAATGCTACTCCTCCTACAGTTTTGGTCTGATTTCAGTATAACTTGGCAAACAACACACGAATACACCAGAGAGATAATTCTGTATATCTGTTTTTGATTTCGATGAATGGTGTTGTCGTGGTTACTAAAAAAAGAAATATCTGTAAAAAAAAAATGCTACTCCTCCTACAGTTTTGGTCTGATTTCAATTTAACTTGGCACACAAGTAGAACACTAAGATACATAATTCTGTATATCGAATTTTAATTTTGATGAACGGTGTTGCCGTGGTCACTAAAAATAGAAATGTCTGTAAAATTGTTTCAAAATGCTACACCTCCTACAGTTTTGGAAAAATTTCAGTATAACTGTGTGCACACAAATAAACTACACTAAGAACATAAAGAGACTTTATCAACGATCATTATTCTATTTAATGATGTTTTAAAGTTAGCGAAATGGATAGCTGCAAAATACTTTCTTTTATGCTATAAGTTCAAACCAGTATCTCTTCTGCAGAGACTTCTGTGTCTTTTAAATATAAATTCGCTAGTTTTTATTTATTAAATCTTCAAAATTAACATTTGGTTTTATATATAAACTATATATGCTGATTTTTTTGTTCTAGGAAGAACAATGTCTTCCACAACTGTAACCAAAACCCAGCGTACGAGAACGGGGATTATGATCAAATGAATACAAGAAACAAGACAGTAAGAACGAACAATGTCTTTTATTATTATTTTAAAAAAAAATTTATTGCTTTGAAATAAAGTTACACTTTTTCTTTAATGTAAAAGTAAGAAAAATTTTCAAAAATGTAATTTATATGACTTTTGCGCGGATTATCCAGTGTCGATATTAAAAATTTGCAAATTAAATTTTTTAATGAATAAAATATTTTTCATAATTGAAAAAAGGTAATTCAGAGAAGAAATTTATCTTCAGAAAATGTTTTTGTTAAATCAAGATTTATGTTTTTATTAATTCAGTCAAGACATTCAAATACCAAATATTATAATTGTATGTTTCAAGTGTTCTAATAAAACACAAATATTGTTGATCATGAACACTTGATGATGTCCCATGAATATTTGCACCATATATAAACTCAATTCATGCTATATTTCAGCAAAACCCTACAAAGGTATCGAATGTTAATCCCTTTCCGAGAGAGCACAATATTTCTACTCCCAACGCGACAGAAGACGGTGTATATAACCATTTAAATGAAGCAGCTACAGCTACAACAATTACAGATGACGTCTACGACCACGCCAGGCCGCATTCCTTGACGTCATTCCATTGTGAGGGGTACGGGACTTTGGTGTTTGATCACGAAGGAAATGATGTTTACATGAAAGGGGATATAGACAAGGAAGCTGAATGTAGTGTTGGAATGGACACTAAAAATGAACACACTGCCCATAATTACTTTGTCCTTGAAAAAGAAACCATCTAATAGATAGAATTTTTTAAACCTCTCATACATGGATAAAAGAAAGCAGTTTATAGAATATGTTTTGATTATTTTCTAAATTCTATTATTCAATTTTTCATTTTTTGTAATTTTAATAATGATTAATATATTATTCATTTATAATACAAATTTCGTGCCGCAAATTTTTATAAATTTTCTGATGAAAATGACTATTTTTTAATATTTAAAAATCTTCTGAATTTAATAATAACTGCATGTAAATAAATTTAGAGTACTTATCAATCATTTTAATTGCTCATTTTAATATTTTTTTTTTCTCAAGTAGGTTGTATATTTATTCATTGGTTAAATATGATATATGTATTTGGTTCTTTTAATTTAAGATAAAAATAATAATTACCAAATTGTTTCTTTGTTTATTTAGTAATAACACTTTTCTTGGCAAATGATTTATTTTTCTATATTTGTTTTTCGAAGCGTTGAAAAATGTACGTAAAATATATATATTTTTCAAAAAATATAATTTGATGAGAAATAATTCAATATATATATCAGGGAATGCATAATTATTATTATGAATAAGCAGTTATTAAAATTTTAATTTTTTCCTTTAGTAAAATTGAATGAAAAGCCCACACATTTATTTATTTGAATTTTAAAAGTTTTGTCTTCTAAAAATTTAAGAAGGCATTTTAGAGTTGTTGTACTTTTTCTCTTCATTTTCATTCCACACACATTGCAATTATCAATCAATAAATTATGCACATGAGTTAATAACCAAAATTATATATGAAATACATGTACACTACGACATTGTTTTGTGAAATAACACTTTTACTAATGATGCTCGACATTAAAATTACATTAAAAAAAATATTTTGGTAATGAAACAGTATACGTTCCCTATGCTGAATATATATACAGTATATATTATCAAGTTTAATCACATATTTCAATAGTGATTGCAACTGTGTCGATAAATTAAAAAGGTAAAAAAACAACAATGCAATATAATGATTTTATATGTTTTGTTTAACTAAAAGTTGCAAAGTTGCAATTAAAGTCAAAGTAATTAAAGAAAATATTTTCCTGATTATTAATATCCATCTTCTTCACAAAATCATGTTGAAGGACACACAGAATATTCTAAAATGTAAAGTGTCTTTTTCTTGTCCCAATTAGATATTTTTCATACATTAGATATCTTTTTCACAGACAAACATAGACGAATAAGAACACTTTATATCATTCCACATGCCACTTTGGGAAAATATTTCCATGCAATCTTCGTTTCCTTTGTCATCGTTCGGTTCTCCCTTGTTCCAGTTTGTGAATCTCAATGGTAACCCTGAGTGATTCCAAATCCTGGTCTTTTCTTGTGTTTTGTCCGTACCACCCAACCAAGCACGGCCTAAATATTTTGAATAAGAATATTATTATTTCGCCGGTGTTAGAAGAAAAAAATATTATTAAAAAAACAATAAAGTATTTTCTTGACTTAAAAGATGTGATCAGAATGTAGTGAATTCGAACGTTGACCGACACTGACCTAAGTTGATAAAAATAGTTATCAATTGTTCTTTCGACAGTTTGAAGTGAAAGTTTTGAAACAATAAAAACCGAGGTCCGTTCAACGGAATTTTGGCGTTCCTGGGCCTCTGTAGTTATCACAGGGGTTACATACCAAACCCGTGACGTCATAACTGTTGATCATGCAGTAGCAGAGTGAAAGTGAAAAGTGACGAGAATTAATGTAAACAAACACAAGAAATCGGAGTTTAAAAGCATCTAGAATGAATATCATGTGCAATCCTTGTGGGAATGAACCGTATGAATAAGGTATGGTAATATAATTCTGCAATTGCTTCGTAAAATTAGAGCAGAATTAAAAGCAGAGAGGGTGTTTACTTGCCGATCAGCCTTTCCTCTGTCGTTCGTAACAAAAAAGATGCAAAAGTTCAACACTACGCCGCATACCTTGAAACTTAATTTTTGTTTCTATGTAAAGTTCTTATTCTTTTGTTTTTGGAAAGTGCTGCTAGAATCGTATGGTTTACGGGAATTGATGCATTTTTTCGATGTTATGAACAAAATGTAAAAATTTTCGGAAGGTTTCGTCCGAAATTGTTGAATAATTATTTCAACAATAGGACAATACGATTCTCGCAGCACTTTTCATGGGACAGAGATGTTTTAACATAACTATTGATATAAATTGGAACTAATTATCCCCGGGGTAGTGTTTAACTTTTTACTTTTTCATTAAGGCATATTTTCTAATTATAGACGTCAGTGGTGACGTCGTGGTGAAGTGCCTCCTGTAGTATAAGTTCCATTGAAGTCTATAGAATACACAATTATAGTAAAAGTTTTATCCTTGACTTTTCCGATTTATTAGTGTTGCATAATTATAAAAAAATGTTAATTCGCCGAATTCTGATCCATGTGCTGCCTTAACAAACCCGCGAAAGATCCTCATCTGGTCAGTTGCCGAGTGAAGGTCAAAATTTGTAGACCTACACTAGTTTATGGTGACACCTCTGAATAAGTAGTCCTTAAAACAACACAAATTCAATCAATTAAAGATGTAAAAAAGTAGATGAAACATATACTTTCTCACTGTAGCGTAAATACACTTCTTTGCAAAAATATAGATAATAGTATCAGGCCAAAAGCCATCCAATTGTTAAAAAGAGTACGTTTGCTTGTTTTAGACATTCTTACAAAAGTAATTAATCATTATAATCATATACTAAACACCCTACTACACATATGCAGTTTATGATATATACATATGTACTGAATAGGAAAATTGAATTTCCACAATCAACATTACAAGTCTAAATAGTGTTTATTGTATTTGCGTAGAAATTGTAATCAGTTTTGAAAACCAAAATAAACAGAAGTCGAAATATACTTCATCAAAATATGATGTTAAAGAAAATAAATTCATTTAAAGAGATTGTTGGGTAATTAAAAAAATCTTAGTTGCTATTATCTTATTGTATTAATAAACAAACACTCACCACTAGGTTCTTTACTTTTTAAGATGTTTGCTACGAAGACGTTCTCAGGCATTGTATCTATTTCAACCAACTTAGCTGACAATCCACGACACTTAACCTGTAATTAC